CTTGGGTGAATTCCACTGAAGTTCTCAAACTCCAGGCCTCGTTTCCAAGCTGCCAGTCAAATGCCTTCTAGTGCCTCAGTCTGAATGATTTACAGCCCCCTAGCAGATTATCAGGGTAACATTAACTCAGTCATTGGAAAGATGGACAAGTGAGTCTTCCTAGAAACAGAGATGCCAGAGTAGATACTTGTTAGTCCCTATGCTGTGAATACTAACACTTATAACATATGGACAACCCTAGGCCTGTCAGCTTGTCCTGTACCTTTTATACTTAACAGATCTTCTAAAGATCTTTAAATTGATTAAGTAAAATTTCTCATTCAGTTAAGTTCAACCAGCTGAAAATATGAGGTGCTTGAATACTTGCAAACAAAAAAGACCTGTCAAGATCTGGTGGAGCTTTTACAGTATATAGAACTAAATTTCTATGGTTAGTGGGAGCCCTTGTCATCTTTTGATTGGTACTTGGGTTTCACATTGGGGAGGTAATAAAGGTTCAGTATCTGGACGACAGGAGAGGTTTTGACATGTGAACCGTGTAACATGTGGATCAAAGAAACAGCCTTCCAGTTGAAGGACGCCCACTCTATCTACTGACCTACAACCCTTCCACGCAGCATATCTGGAGTGATAAATTTGTCGCTGCAGTAGAATTAGTTAATGTCCAAGTGTGCAGGCATGGCACTGGCGCAAAGCTGACAGGAAGAGTCTGTTTCTGTCTCTTTTCACTAATCAACACTTACCAGAAATGCTTTACTTTGTGATTGCACATGTTGACAGGTTCGCTACACATAGTACTTTGTCTAATCTGCTTCTTTTTGTCATTTATTGCTGTATCTAATATAAGAAGCCCAATGTTTCTCACAAAAAGAGCCCATATGCCATAGGAGCTTTGTAGGTGGAACAACAGCTGTTGTTAAAGTCTATGAGCTTTGTTGCTATGTGAAACAGGACACAAGCATCTGCTGTCTCAACCAAAATTACTGAGGTTAGAAGACAAAAGTCTGCTTTTAAGCAGTCTGTGGGATTTAAATCACAGTGGGATTTCATTAATAATGACATACATTTTTAAAATAAGAGGATATAGAGAATAGCCATCATAAATGTCAGTGATTCACAAAAAAACAATTGCAGCCTTTCTATATCTTTGATACGTAAAGAAAAATTATAGCCACGCAACAGTAAACCATCTAATGCCACCACCTGCACCCGAAACTACTGTTATGGTTTACAACAGTTTCTGTAAAGCAAACATCATTCTGACAGCGATATAACTTTCCTTTAGCCTGCCAGCTGTATCAACTTGTATCATCAATTATGCCTTGTCACTCTGCTGTAATTTCACCAAAAGTCAAGTAAATATCTAACTTTTCAGTCTGGCTGTCATGCCTTTGAAAACACCAAAGATTGTAGCCGTGATTTTTTTAGGCCTTGAATTTATTTTTAAATACTCCAGAAAAAAAGGAAGATTCAGATGAAGCCTCTAGATGCGTTTGCATTATAACTTAGGTAGGAATAACTGAAATCTGAATGGACATCTGCCTGAAGGGTAACTCCTTATTTTACCTTAGTGTTTTTCATTTATTTATTAAAGGTAATACATTACAAAAAATTACATCAGATTTAAATCTGTCAGTATAAGAACTGTCTAGATGTAAACTATCATTTTAGGTATGTCTTAGCTTTAGCTAGAAGTCCAGCTCCTGATTATGTCAAGTAAGCTTTCATTGTTGATGTAAAACGCTGCTGTCACAGTCTGAATTGGTATAAATAACTTATGCTAATGTATTTGACATTAAAGGATTAAGGGAAATTAAATTTTAATTAAATAATTGATTTCTGATGGCACAATGATCGGCACCCTGATGGTACCAAAGGCCACGTGAAGGGCAAATCAGGAGCAGGGTTGTCTTCAATCACAGCACTAGATTATTAGCATATCATGATAATCCCAAGAGAAGAAGGAATTTTGTTAAGAATTTAACAGGAACTTCTTGACTCGATTGGCTTCACCAACGCAAGACCACCAACACAGTAATGCAAACTCTCATATTTTAATGAATATATCTAGAATTTGATTAATATAATTCAGCAATATCCCAAATATAATTTTATTATTTATATCATATAAATATAATACAACCAAACAGAGTGGCATGCTGTAGTAAATGTAGAGTCACTTTCATTTATAACAAGAAGTAATAATAGGATAGTTCAGGTTGCATTAAGTAATGCATCCATTTTTATGTTTGCAGATGTGAAAGAAGAGAATTCAACTTTATTTTTATTACACTGTCCCAAGAACAAAGCAACGAAATGTAGTTTGCATTTATCCAGAAGTGCTGTACAGGATATAAATATTTATTTACATGTACACAGACACTATATATGGACTATAAATTGTATACATAAGCAGAGAGTAATTGTAAGAGGCTATAAAATAAATATTATAACTATATACAGATTATACAGTAAAGTTAGGATATGGATTATATAAATATATTAGTGGGGTTATAATAAAGGAAAAGCAAGGAAGTTGTGAACCTGCCTGCAAAGAATTTTTATTTTAAAACAATCACAGCTGTTCCTCCTCCTCTAATGCCATTGACATCCACCAAGGACAACGTCAAACAAGAGCTCTCTTCTCCCTTGAATCAAACGACCACAGTGATCTCATTGATGGGCATTTCATGCAGATGCAATCCAGCCTCAGGCATTGCCAAACCAAGACACTGGCATCAAGCGGAATGGCATCTGACTCCTTTTAAAAACAACATAATTGGCGTCCCAAGTGAGAACTCACAGCTCTGTGTCACCGTAACATCATGTAGGTAGAGTGGTCTCACAACTGGGAGCTAATAAACACCTTGTAGCTGCAGTAGGTGTCAGCTTTGCACCCCAGATGAGAGTGTCTCCAGGAGACATGAGAACATGTCATAAGCAGGCATTAGCCCACTCGCTAATAACACTGCTGGTCATTTTGTGTGGCGGTGAGAAACGGAGAGGCTGTGATCAGTCACCCAGCTCTAACGTTACCGTCCACACCACCACCACCCACTCTGTCTCGCCTGCTCCGGTCTGCTGTCAAATCTACGCTCAAGCTGATTTCTTCCATGAATTATTAATGCAGCGCGCACTCAGAAGCTGCTCTCATTGTTTTCCTTCTCCGTTCTGTCTGTATATGATTTGATTGCTAATACACTTATATCTAAGCATACCTCCCTGAAACGTGTTAAGGCGCATGATTTTCCTGTGATATCTGACGCTCTGCATTAAACCAGCCACTATGTGGAGGTTCGGGTTATTGAGAGCATTGATCAACGGGCCGTAATTCAATCTGGGATGTCCACAGCAGGGTAATGCTGTAGGATAAGTCAGCCCTTTGCAATATGCCACCACCTACTGCGGGGCAAAAAGGTGAATCCTATTGATGGCACTAGATAGCCAAGGTCAGCTGCTGCACATTAATTAGATGAAGGCACCCAGTGGGCCGATCACATCGCACAGCGGAGAAATCCAAAGGAAAACTTAAAACCAGGTGACATGAACCGACCAGCAGCAGATTAAAGAAAACAATCAGCTTGATGGGGTGATGTGAAAGCCGGTAAACACAAACACAGCATAAAACAGTCACTTTTATAGGCCTCATGGAGGGAAAGAAAAGGAGTACGCCACACCCTTGCCCCTGTCTCCATGTGATACCTCAAAGTGTATCATCTATCTATTATATTGGATTGTGGGTTGTGATAAAACTAGAGAGGCTGCTGCTGCTCCTCTATCCTCTCCCTCCAGTTATTTATAACATATAAAGCTACAGCACTTTATGAATAACCGCAGGCACAGCCTGACACAGCCTTTAATACTGAGCTGCACAGGGTTTTGTGTGCATAGTATACTTTTCTCTTTTAAATGTAATATACACTCATAAGGGGAAGACTGAAATATTAGAAAATCAGAATCCACTGTATTACATATATGTATATGTGTATGTATGTCTATCCAAGCAATGCTGCCTTGAATACCAAACAACAGATACACAAGTGCACAAGTTTCTTCCTGTGTCCCATATTGTCGCAGCTAGAGCTATATATAGACCCCTGCTGACTGTCATTCCGTTCAAAACAAAGAGTCCCAAGTTAATTCTGTGGAGAGGGAAATATCTGCAGAATCCAGATTGGGTTTTTTTTTTTCCCCTTCCCAGCTGCTCGTTATAACAGAAACGCATCGATTGCAGATGGATAAGAAGAAAACATGCATTCAGGGATGGATCACGACTTGCACACAAGGAGAAATGTTATCTCAGCAGAAACAAAGGTGTTGGCAAATAAGGGCTAGATTAAGGTAACGCATTGCAATTGTAACTCTCCAGCATTTCCCCCCACCAACCCACCCACAGACAAACACAAACACACACCATCACACACAGGTTCTCCATTCTGCTTCCCTCACAGACTCTCAGCCAGTCTAAATCGCGGGACAATTAAATTTGATGAATGCTTTAAGCTTTCACCTTACACACAAGGGCACTATGTGCCTGGAAAAACAATAATAAAGAAAAAATAATAAATTATGCACTGATCATAAGTAAAAAATGGATTTAAAATCAGTGTGGTTTAATGTTTAAACCTACAGAGGACGCACCTAAGCTCAAGTCCTTATTTTCTGTGGTCTATTTTCTACAGGAGAGCTTCTGTCCTGACCAACACAGGTTTAGTAAAAATCTTTAGAATATATGTTTGTCTTCCAATCTTACATTGCAGCGAGATCTGAGTTTTTTTTCTCTCCAATTCAGGAATATTTTCTTTAAATAGATTTGGCACCATTATACAGCCATACCTATGTCTTGGCTGCGCGCCACATTAAGCCGCATTGACAAAAACGCAAATCCCCCAAAAAAGCTAATCCATGGAAACGTTCTTATTAATAGAAATAGCATTAAGCCTTCCAAAATGCATTTTTTATTTTTTTTTTTTTTTGATATCATCTTTACAGATACTCACCTGCGACAGCACTCACAGCTTCCAAGCATGCTTTCGCATCTCTTCGCGACGGCAACTCCCAGCCAGCCACCAGCGCTCAAATTGAGACGCACTATCTCAAGTCCATCCCCCGCCTTTAAAAGACGGCTTTCATAAAACAAACTGAGAGGAAGCGCTGACCGCCTGATTTCAAACGAATTTCTCCACAGCGACCGCAGCTCTAATGTACGTTTCAGTTGAAAAAAAGCATTCCCCCCCAAAAATAAATAAACCGCTCCTAGTGAGGCAGTGATGCTGATGGGACTCCCTCCTCTGACCGCCCCGAACAAGTCCGAAAGGATGCTGGTAATAAAAAGGAGGCAGGGATGCAGATGACAGGTTATCGACTCCTACGCGCGGCTCCTCTGTAAGCAGGCTGGCGCGCGGCTCCTGGATGCGGTCCCTCTTCAGCCACTGCGCTCTAAGCAGCACCGTGTTTGCGCGCGTGCGTGATTGTGTGTGTGTCTTTGTGGGACTGACTGTCGTCAGACGCAGAAGCAATCCGCCTTGTTGGAAAGGAGGGTTGGAGATGATCAACGGAACGCATTCTCTGCCCGGGATCCAACTCGGTGTGCGTCCCTCTGCGTGTGTATGTGTGCTGTAAACTGATGGATATGTTTGTGTGGAGTCTGTGTTATTTTCTGCTGTAGTTGTCTCCAGTCCGTTTATTTATTTGTTATGTTGTGTCTGTTTTTTTAAGGCTGTTTCCTGTATTTTTACGCACGTAAAGTGTAATAACGCAAACGATCGTATCTTTTAAAAACACCCACAAACACTGTATTTAAATGAAATGTTAACTGAGATTGAAAGGGGCTGATAGATGGGTCTGTTGGACAGTTGTAGTTCCTAATTCGAAGGCCTGATGGCGCTGTGAGCTTCAGGTACAACCGTCTTCCCTCCTTTCCAAGAGGCGGGCCCTGCGGAATGTTGTCTAACACATATCTGATCCCTTATCTATCCCCCTGCGAGTTTATAAAGGGGGTCTCAGGCACCGTCGGGGCAGAGATTGCAGAAAAGTGTTTAAAGCAAAGAGAGTAAATATTTCACACGGTTAAACTCCTGTTTCTCTCCCCCCGTCTGTAATGTGCTCTGAAGTGAGAGAAGAGCACATCATTGCTCTGTAATTGTCATAATAGGGGACGTTCAATGTCACGGATGGCTCTTAATGCGCAAAATTTGAATTTAAATAAGTTTTAATGTCGTTACACAGGAATCAAATAGTAAAGATTCATTTGCAATTTCTGCTTGGGGTTCTTATTGATTAGAAAAGGTGTTAGGGGGGCAATGAGAAGATTTTTTTTTTGTAGATTTCTTCTGATATGTTAAGATGAGCTGCTGCTCATGGAACTTGAAAAGTTTCAAATTCTGAATCACCAGGCTGATGATGTTGATAAGAGTTATTTCAAATATTTCTGCCCACTGTGCATACGATTCTGCTAATGAACTACTTTAGGGAACTAACAAAATTCTGTAAATGTTTGTAATAATAATAATAAATGTTATGTAAATCCATGTTTTTGTCCTACAATGGGGGAAATTTGCTTTCTGCCTTGTGTGGCGCCCTGGGCTCGAACTCAGAACCTCTGGATTCTGGAAGTGCAATGCCCAAACCGCTAGGCTGCCAAAATATGAGTAAAAGTGCTCTTTTAAGGTATTTTTTTTTATAGCACCATCATGTTTTTTTACAAGTTACAACTTGAATTCTGAAATTAATTACAGGACAATGGAAATTCCTTTTTTACCCTTTTCAAACAGGTTTTATTTTCATTTTATAACTCAAAATAAGCCTTTTTTTTAAAGCAATTTAGCATTATCCTGCCATAATTATCCCATTTGGTTAAATATCCCAGTCATAATGACACATTCAAAAGTTTACAGATGTTTTCCTAAGAATTTGGTCATATTCATTTACACTATTAATTGTGTTAAACATTTTGCATTGGTGCATTCTATTTAGTTCAATTCAGTTTAGTTTTATAGCACCAGATCACAATATATGTCATCTCAAGGCACTTTGCAGGGGCAATTCGATCACATCACACAAGGAGATTGGTTTCCTTTCGAAGAAAACCAGCTGATTGTCTTCTCTGAGTTGCAGAATACACCTTATAGATGAGCTTGAGGCAATTATATTTGTTTCCTTTTTGTCATTGACTCTTCAACAATCCCTTATACCATGCACACATGCAGCGACAGTGGAGAGGAAAACCACCCATTTAGCAGAACCAGGCTCTATGTGAGTGGCCTTCTGTGGAGGTGATTTGAAGGTTCAAAGGGAAGCAGACATGCAAAAAGAAGCAGCTATAAATGAGGTAACACTTAACCAACACCACAGGTGACAGTGTCTAGAAAATAGCAACCAGCAATGGTATCAAGGTGTTACTTTATTGTATCTGTTATACTATATCAGTTGGTTGTGCTGTTTTTTTTTACATCTCTCTTTGCAGGTGATGAAGCAGACTGAAGACATTTTATCATTGTCTCCCTTTCATCTCCTCTTTCTTTCACCCTTTCTGCTTGTTCGACTTTCCCATTGAAGTGTTTATATAATCTGAAATACTCCCTGCATTAATTATAATAAAGCTATTTACGTGCATAAATCAAGTGGAACACTATGGCGAAAGCTGTACTGCTCCACTTGTGAAAGTAAAATCTGTTGGGCTCTTTTTGGAATCAAGACAGTAATTCTTATTGCCACATTGCCAGACAGGACAATGTATTGAAAAAACCCCAAAAACAAATAAGGAAAGGCTACTGGAATATTACACCATGGATGTTTTTGTCTCCCTTGTATCTTAAAACCCGCTTCAAAGACCCTCAGGACATCTGGGATCGTTCAGGCATCACAGCGACATGTGAATGTCATCAGCATCAGTTCACGCATGGCCAAGGCAACCTTGCACCTTTCCACCTCTGACCGTTAAACCAGTCCTTAGGGGAGGAAGGCGTGAGGGCCAATCTGACCATTTTTTTTGTGTGTTTTTTTTCTAGCTCAGCACACTAAAAGATCAAGATCAAAACTTAGCTGCAACAAAATACCACAGACTGCCCATTTAGGCTTCAGCCCAGCTGCCTGTTCCACTTGTGAGCGCAAAATTGAGAATAAATGGTTGAGAGAACCCTTGAATTATTATGTTTGGCAACACGTTTCATCTGAGCATGCATGTCACCCAGCAGCTGCTCAATAATCCCTTTTTATCATCAGTATTTTTGCAGAGCTGGTGAAAATTTGCTTAAAGTGGTGGAAGATGAGAGCACCGTTCAGAGTAGTAAGATTATAGCAGAGAAAATTAGCTTGGGTACGATGCACTTCATGGGAGGCAGAAAAGAGGCTAGGTTCACGGTCTTTATCCCTGCCTGCCTCATTGCCATTCACTCCACCCTGCTAAAAGCTCCAAACAACATCAGAGGTAACAATGGATACCTGTGATGCCAAAGGCTTGAGAGCTTCCCATTAATAATTAATTTTGGTTGTTCCTCAGCTGCAACAAAGATATTTTTTTTGCTGTGTTGGGAGTGACTGTGCTCTGTCACATTGACACTCAATTAACAAAATTAAATGAATGGAGGTCCGAGAGAAAAAAGGCAGACAAAAACTATATAAATGGCTTAAAACTGTATGACCATGACTATTATTAGAACAGTCAGTTCCTCAGATTCCTGGACAGTTACAGAACACATTTTTAGAACTAGTTAAGATTTCCAATTGTAGCATATTATCTTTTTTTTGGTGCACATAACAGTCTGAGGCACATGACAAGATGCACGTGACAGATGACAATAGGGTAGAGTTTGAGAAATCTCTTCACTGAATCCTATGCGATTTCTGCAACTGCCAGAAAGATGGAGAACTATTGTACATATAGGCCTGCATCAGGGAACAACAACAGTGAAAAAAAATGTAAATGAATATGCCATTAGACAATTATTATATGTCTCACTCTATGACTGAAACTTGAAATACATATGCTATTGAAATCAATAAGATATAGACTACATAATTTAATCCATTATTTAAATCTGTTCGATTGACCTAAATTTGAGTTAACTATATATATATATAGTACTGTACATGTTTTATTGGTGCAACCTATGTATTGTACTACACATCATATGTCGAAGTATGAACCTTTAACATGAGCTTCCAAACTCTGTAACGATTAAAAAATGCGGCTAACCATTAAAGATGGTTCCCACTAACATCAAATCAAAGAGGCATTTCTCAGTTTTCTTCTTGACTGAACTTTAATCTTCTGTAGATCAAAGTCTACTTTTTACTCAATACTAAACTGGATAAGGAATCTTAAAAACATAGCTTTCCAAAATATTGCAAAAATCAGAAGTTGTAATCCTTCTTGTAAGATGAATTTATTTGCTATACACCTCATAACTTGTTTAAAGATGATCAACAACAACCTCTAAAGAACCTACAATGAAAGTTCTGTCTGAAAGTATTATTTCAGATTTACCCATAGTAAGCCTTTAATTTATATTATATCTATTTTGGCCTTATTTTTTCTGTGGTGAAAAAAACAAAGCTTATTTAAAAAAATGTATATCCTCTCTAATTGGGTTGAATATAAACAGCAGCAACATTATCTATTCAGTTAATCTCAAAAGACAAATTTATGCTGAGGCAGATTGTGCAACAGGGGAACTACATCTAGCCTTGCTGCTAGGCTATCTTTGTAGCAAGTGAATTATTGGAAAGCGCAATTCTCTTGTGGCTATAAAAAGAATTCTTTTATAACTTCGACTGCACTTCCTTAAAGAAAATCAAACAAGGTGAGTGATGCCTCTTTGTGTTGTGAACCTGTGCTCAATAAATTTGTTCTATTTAAGACTGTTCTGAAAGAGAGGATTTGGAAGAAGGAGTCCTCTTATATCCTTTGGGAAAGAAGACACAAAAGGCAAAAAATATTTTCCCATGCTGAGTAAGCACATGTTGTGGGTAAATGCAGACTTAACAATAGTGCAATATATACAAAATCTACAGTCACAGCAACAATTTATGATGGTCTTATAAAATATTATAGTGGTCTAGAACAAAATTATGTGCTCATCATTTTTTCCATACTTCAGTTCTCCTGGTGAGGAGCAGTTGACAACCTATCATCCTGCAGAAGCAGTCCTGACAGCAGGTAAACCCTGTAATTCCACTCATGCATAAAGGATGTGTTATTCTAAACCCCTCCTGCTTGGTCATGTCAGTGATATGACAGTTTTTCACAAACTGTAAGGTCCTAAAATATCCCTCCCTTGGAAATATCTAAAACGACTGATCCTGGCACAGAAGTATAACAGTGTTAATTTTCTGTGTAGACAGAGGATCCATAATTTATACCATCCGCAGTTCCCAGCTGGTAAAATTGCATAGGTTTTTTAATTGGGTTCAGGTCACATGACCATTACTGTTAGATCATCCTGCATCCTTTTAAAATAGATAGAAAAATATGGAAATTGCAAGAGCCATATTAAAGGCTCCTTTAGATTTATTTCTAATTTAGTACAGTATTTGCAAATGCATTCCCTGCTCTGGTACAG